ATGTAAACTTATACAACCACTCTGGAAAGCAATCTGGCACTTTCTCAGACAACTAGGAATAGTGCTTCCTCAAGACCCAGCCATACCACTCCTAGGCATATATCCAAAAGAGGCTCAAGTACACAACAAGGACATTTGCTCAACCATGTTTGTGGCAGCTTTATTTGTAATAGCCAGAAGCTGGAAACAGCCCAGATGCCCCTCAACTGAAGAATGGATGCAGAAATTGTGGTACATCTACACAATGGAGTATTACTCAGCAATGAAAAATAAGGAAATCATGAAATTTGTAGGTAAATGGTGGGACCTGGAAAGAATCATCCTGAGTGAGCTGTCCCAGAAGCAGAAAGACACACACGGTATATACTCACTCATATAGACATAACATAGAATACACCTACTAAAAACTGTACATCTAAAGAAACTAAGCAAAAGAGAGGACCCTGACTAAAACGCTCAATCCCCATCATGAAAGGCAAAGAGGAAGGACATCAGAAGAAGAAGAAAACAGGAAATAAGCTAGGAACCTGCCACAGAGGGCCTCTGAAAGGCTCTGCCCTGCAGAATATCAAAGCAGATACTGAGACTTATGGATCTACTATTTCAATGGTATACAGACAACAACTATTACGTGGTACTTTAGAGTTAAAAAAAAAACAACTTCAGAGTAACTTTCTTAGATATAGCTGCATTTAAGGACACTGTCATCAGAACAAAACGACAGCCTACAGACTGGGAAAATATCTTCACCAACCCTATATCTGACAGAGGGCTGATATCCAGAATATATAAAGAACTCAAGAAGTTAAACAGCAAAAAAAGCAAGTAATCCAATTAAAAAGTGGGGTACAGAGTTAAACAGAATTCTCAAGAGAGGAATACTGAATGGCAGAGAAACACTTAAAGAAATGCTCAACATCCTTAGCTATCAGGGAAATGCAAATCAAAACAATCCTGAGATTTCACCTTTTACCCATCAGAATTGCTCAGATCAAAAACTCAAGTGACACACATGCTGGAGAGGATGTGGAAAAAGGGGAACTCTCCTCCATTGTTGGTGGGAATGTAAACTTGTACAACCACTTTAGAAATCAATATGGCGCCTTCTCAGACAATTAGGAATAGTGCTACCTCAAGTTCCAGATATACGACTCCTAGGCATATATCCAAAAGATGCTCAAGTATACAAGGACATTTGCTCAACCATGTACATAGCAGCTTTATTTGTAATAGCCAGAAGCTGGAAACAACCCAGATGTCCCTCAGTTGAGGAATGGATACAGAAATTGGGGTACATTTATACAATGGAATACTACTCAGTAATTAAAAACAAGGACCTTAATCATGAAATTTGCAGGCAAATGGTGGGATCTAGAAAAGATCAACCTGAATGAGTTATCCCAGAAGCAGAAAGATACACATGGAATATACTCACTTATAAGTGGACATTAGACATAATATATAGGATAATCATACTAAAATCTGTATACCTAAAGAAGCTAAGCAGGGAGGACCCTGGGTAAGATGATCAATCCTCATTCAGAAAGGCAAACATCATGGACATCAGAAGGAGAAAACAGGGAACAGGACAGGAGCCTACTACAGAGGGACTCTGAAAGACTCTATCCAACAGGGTATCAAAGCAGAGGCTGAGACTCATAGCCAAACTTTGGGCAGAGTGCAGGGAATCTTATGAAAGAAGAAGGAGATAGAAAGACCTGGAGGGGACAGGAGCTCCACAAGGATAACAACAGAACCAAAAAGTCTGGGCCCAGGGGTCTTTTCTGGGACTGATACTCCAACCATGGACCATGCATGGAGATAACCTAGAAACCCTGAACAGATGTAGCCCATGGCAGCTCAGTATCCAAGTGGGTTCCCTAGTAATGGGAACAGAGACTGTCTCTGACATGAACTCAGTGGCTGGCTCTTTGATCACCTTCTCCTGACGGGGGGAACAGCCTTACCAGGCCACAGAAGAAGACAATGCAGCCACTCCTGATGAGACCTGACAGACAAGGGTCAGATGGAAGGGGAGGAGGACTGGGAGAAGAAAATGGGAGGAAGGGTGGGCTTGGGAAGGGATGAGGGAGGGGGCTACAGCTGGGATACAAAGTAAATAAACTGTAAGTAATAAAAAGATAAATTTAAAAAATAAAAAATTAACAAAGAAATAACTGCATTTACAGTGGGCAGGCAGAGAAATAACTATTTTAGGAAATACACTTAGTCTTACAGTTTTATTTTATTTGCTCATTTTTTTAAAGTTTGACTTTTTGTGCTAGGATATCAATACATAGCCCAGACCAGCTTTAAACGCTCCATCTTTCTATCATGTATGTTAAGCATTATAGTTAAACTAGCATCTAGAGTTGACACATCAGCATGAAAATGGAAGTCTGTGAGAACAAAATCTTAAAGAATAAGGACTGGGTTCAAGTAGATTTGCAGATAGGTTCCTCTTGTCCCAAGGTCTGTCAGAGTTTTCTTTGTTCTGTGACTCCAATGCACTTGTCCTAGAATCAAGTGCTTTAGTGCCCTCTAGTGGCCACTGTCCAGCCCTGCAACCTCATTTTATTCCTGTCCCTCTAAATACTCTGAGCAGGAACAGCTTTTTCTCAAATTAATTAATTCACCTTACAATCCTTATCGTAGCCCCCTCCATTCTCTCCTCCAGGTCCCACCTTCCCATCCTTTCCCCCCTATCCCTTCTCCCCTACTCCTCAGAAAAAGGAGAGCCCTCAACAAACCCACCCTAGCACATCAAGTCACATCATGACTGAGCATATCCTAGTGTCCTGTGGCCTGGTGAGGTAGCCCTGCCAAGAGGACATGATCAAAAAGCAGGCAACAGAATCCATGCCAATGACAGCCACCACTCCCCTTACTAGGGAACCCATATTAAGATGGAGCTGCCTATCAGCTACATCTATCTAGGAGCCGAGATTCATTACATTCATGGTCTGTAGTTGGTGATTCGGTCTCTGTAAGAGTCCCTGAGCCCTGGTTGGGAAGAGTAGGAGAGGAGGACAGAGGGCCTGCAGAGAGAAGAGAAACCGTCGGTGGAGGCACCTATGTGACAAGCTAGAGACCTAGGATAGGGTAGGCTCCTGGGAGGATATGGGGGTGACTCTAGCTGAAACTCCTAGCAGCAGGGGTCATGGAGACTGAATAGAACACACTCTAAATAGACAGGGTTCCTAGTGTAGGGAGGAAAACACCAACCCATCCACAAACACTTCAACCCAAAATTTAACCTGCCTACAAAATGTGCAGGGATAAAGATAGAACAGAGATAGAGGAAATGAATGTCCAACCAATGACTGGCCCAACCTGATAGCTACCCCATGGGAGAGAGCCAGCCTGACACTATTAACAATACTCCGCTATGCTCGAAGACAGGAGCATGGCATAGCTGTCCTCTGAGAGGCTCCACCCAGCAGTGGATCAAAACAGATGCTGAGACTCACAGCCCAACAATGAGTGGAGCGCAGGGAGTCTCGTGGAAGAGCTGGGGCGAAGGACAACCAGGGACAGCTCTTATAGCAACTCACCATGTCACAGAAGAGCAGACAATACCCTAAATAAAGGTGAAAGCAATCAAGTTGAACTTTTCCTAGCAAAACTAGAATTTTCCAACATAAGAAGCAGCAAATGGTGATCAGGAAAACAAGATACCACAGTAAAATTACTGTCATGTTCTTATTTACAGATTAACAAATCAACAATACTGATTTACATGGGGAAAGGTTCGGGGTCTTCCAACAGACAGAGGCTTAGAGAACAGTGAAGTAACTGTTGAGATGACGTGAACACGTTAACATGGTTCTGTCTGTGGCTTGTCAGTTCCCTTCACTTGGGTCTCCATCTCATCCCACAGCTTCCATTTTAGCCCAAGGCAGCAGGATAAATGGCAAAGAGCCGTTTCTTTTGCATTATGTCTGAGCCTTTCTTTTATGAACGTATAATGGTCACACTCACCAAAACCAGTAATTGTTGACTAAAGTGTCAGTTCTCCCTGAATTCCACAGTATGTTTTTTGGGGGAAGGGGGGTGTTGATAGCTAACATGCCCATCCCTTCCTATTCGTGGGTAATTTTGTTTTTCAAGTAATGCATTAGTTAAAGTGCTTCACACCACTAAATTTTAACTTGAAATTTTTTAGATGATAAATTTTGTCCTATATATTTTACTACAACATACAATTGCTAAGACAAAATTTAAAACTCCTTAATTTCTTACACGTATAACCCAGGAATTTTACTGGAAAACCTACTGTGTCTCTTCTCTACCATTCATTTCTCCCCTCTCACAAGAGCAAGCAGTCATGGCCTGAGGTGCCCATACTTTAGGTCTGTGACTCCTATGTCCCCACAAGACTTAGCCATGGCCATGGCTGGGGCATACTCAATATGAACCTTTCTACCCAGCTACTCTCAGCTTTGCCCTTGTGAATCCAGGTATAAAAGTGGGCCTCATGGGCTCAAGACCACAGCTGTAAGTAGCACTGAGATTGGTTCAGCTTCAGCCAGTACAGTTATTTGCCTCAGGTTCATGGGTGAAAGTAGGGAATGATGGTGGCTCACCATCCACAGAATTTGCAGATCCTTACAAAAAGGGCTTCTCTTCCTTGAACACTATCAAGAAAACTAACAACAGGAAGAATGGGAAGGCCCAGTCAGCCAAAGCCATTGCTGGTCAAAAAGCAAGACTGGGGCCAATTGTTGGTGAGCATGCCTTTAATCCCAGTGCTCAGGAGGCAGAGGCCAGACTGGTCCACAAAGTGAGTTCCAGGACAACCAAGGCTGTTACACAAAGAAACCCTGTCTGAAAACACACACACACACACACACACACACACACACACACACACACACATATGCACACACAAAAGCAAGACCGAAACTCTCCCACTGAAATAGAGGCAAGTGAGGGCCCAGTCTAGGGAGAACTTCCTCTTACTTTGTTAGTTTCCTCAAACAGATCCAAAACTCAGAAGCTTAAGTAAATTCCAGTTTATTGAAGGTCCTCTTTACTTACAGTACAAGTCTCTAAAAGGCTAGGGTAGTTATCTTTAAATAACAAGTCAATCATATAAAACAGCTGGAAACAAAGTTAGAGCAATATATACATTATAATACATTAAGTACTCTTAATATTGAGTTTTTCATATTAAATTAGGAGGCTACTGTGATTTACAATGTTATTTCCTCTAATTTAAAACCTATTGAAAGACATTATGTACATTTTCTTTTACAAAACTGATAAAGCAGCATTAACAAAACTGCTCATGATTGTGATTTCTGTTTTTGTTTTTTTTTGTTTTTTGTTTTTTTTTTGTTTTTCTGTAATACACTGCACCTGTTACAAACCAGCGGGGGGGGGAAAAAAAAGGCATTGCACTAGATGGTTTGAATACTGCATAAGTCACTTTGGAAGAACGAATGTCCTGGTCAGACTTACCACCAGGCTCACTCAAAACAGTTTTCACACTTGAAAGTCAGCTAACTTCCCACAGGCAGGTTACTTAGCTTGGAACTTCCACAGAAGCCCACTGCTAATGGCCACAGTGCCAAGAAGCCATCGGCCACAACCGCATTAACTGTGTAAGCCAACGCTGGTATGAATGACCCCATTATTTACACAGATACCACAGCTAAAAAACACTGCTCAGACATTCCGTAGGAAATCTTGAGAATCTATAAAGTAGACTCAGTAGACAATAAGAGGGCTCACAACAGCTTATTTCTGCTTTCTTCCCTCAGGCACATAGGAATAAAATTAAATCCTTGCTATTTTTTCAACAAATTTTTATGTCATCAAAAAGCTTCATATTTATAAATACGATTTTACAAAGCAACATGTTGACATAGTTTCTCATGTTACTACCAGTCACTTTGGAATTCATATTGTATTTTGAGCATGAGATTTCTTCCTGATTCACAACTTTTCAGCATTAATTAGGCCATGGAAGGGAGCTCAAGAGGACAACAGCCATTCAATTCAAAACATTGAATATACATCCAAATACATGGTAGTAACTGACTGCAAGCAGCCAGGAGTCACACATTTGTACCACGCACAACAGTTCGATTGTGCATTTCCCCTTCATTAATACCAGCCAGACATTAAGTTTAAAAAAAAACAAATAAGGCTTTCAAAACAGTAACTCTTGCTTAACAAAGTTTAGTCACCAAAATATCAAATACAACAATACTTTAAAAACTGCTTTTCAAGTCAGGGGCAAGAGAAGGCGGCTATGCCATGTCAATGTCCAGAGTTACTCCTCTGAAGCTCAGCTCAGCTATGCACACTGTACTGAAAACACAAAGAAAAACAGAAACAACACATCTTCCTGGTTCTATAGCCTAAACAATCAGACAGAAAAAATGAACAGAGACAAATTAGAGCTGGCTTTTCAAACCAGACAAAAGTCTTTGTTCTAGACGCATAGAAAGTAAGTGTTCCTTGCAATCTTCAAGTCTGTACAACTCCTTTACCACAACTGGACTCTTCAGTGTTTGGTCGGCCTTCCCAAGGCACAGAGACAAGACTGAGGCGGCTGAGGCTCAGGCAGACATAAACCCTTTGAGTTCAAAATTAGCCACGCTCTCAACAGGCAACAAATAGCTAGCTAGTGCTTCATCTCTACAGCAAACCTACCAAACTGCCTAATTCAGGTGCAGACTATCCTGTGGAGAATACATCCAGCCCTTTGTGAATGTTAATGTGCTATTAGAGGAAGTCTAAAGACAGTGGAATCTTACAACTTTTAAATGTCCAAATGTCCTTGTTACAGAAAAGCCAGGAGAAATTCTAGCATATTGTAAGGTAAAAGTATTTCCTCACACTTCAGGACTTATTTTAGATGGGACTGACAACTCGTAAACAAGTTCCTTAAGTGTGAGTAACTCTCCCTCTCAAAAGTGTGAGTAACTCTCCCTCTCAGCATTTCTCAGCAGCGCTGGTCAGGGTGGTGGAAATTTTAACATGAGAATATCCACACTGAAAAACATTCTAATTTTACAAATCCCACTAAACTGCTAGTAGTGTTGAAAGATACTATATATGCAAAAATAAAATAAACAAAACCACAACTGTTTCCTTCTCAGTTTCTTGGATTGGGTCTAGTCTTTTACTGATAAAAAGTTTTCATTACTAATTCTGTACTTATGAAATCAGTGACTTCAGATTCATTTACTGTTCATTTTGTTTCCTCACAATAAGAGGAAAATCTAGACTATGAACATACATGCAGGTTAAATGCTGTTTGGCACACAGCACATTTTAAACAAGCTCCTTAAAATGCTCTAGACAGGCTTTCAAGGTAAGGGTTGTAGGCTCTTGTCACCTGTAGAAAAGATAGAATGTGAAAGCATCAAACACAATTAAAAACAAGATGAGATGGAGAATACAGAGTGTGGCAGGACTCCCAATAAGTCAAATTCCTAATAAAGCAAGCACCAACCTGTTTAACTGGCCATTAATGGAATAAATCAGAATTTTCCTAAATGTTTCAGAAATTATAAGAACGAACATAAAGTTACTACACAAGTATCATAAAACAAATCAAGAAGTTCTTCAAGTGCCTTCTCAGGAAAAAAAGTGTCAAATGTGGTGCCAGACACTCAGAGTCTACCCAATCACAGTCTACCAGACAGTCCATCAGACAATCACAGTCTACCAGACAGTCACAATCTATCAGACGGTCAGCGTCTATCAGTCAGTCTACCAAACAGTCAGTGTCTATCAGACGGTCAGCGTCTATCAGTCAGTCTACCAAATAGTCAGTCTCTATCAGATAGTCAGTGTCTATCAGACAGTGCTTTCTTCTTCAAGCAACTGAGTTAGTACATATGACAAGTCAATTACTTACTCTACCTATATGTTCACAACCCCCTGAAAAGAACCTGTATTTAACTCTGTACAATTTCCCATTTTACAGGCAGATAACTGTAAGTATCAGAAGCAAAGTACAATTCACAGAGATTTTACCCTGCAGTTAAAGGGAAGTCTATAGACAGCCCCAGAACTGAAAGGTTTTTGTGTTCAAGTGGTATATATGTGACAAAGAAATAAAATGTCATATAGTTTGGGTTTCTTCCTTAGATCCACTTTCCTTCGGTCTATTTCAAATCATCTGCATGAGTTCAGCAATTCAGATCCAATCCTGTCCAGTGGTCTGGCACCATCAGGAAATACTTGTCCATTGCTTCACAAAATCTAGTCCTATACAACTCTGGAGAGACCACAGTTGGCATTTTACCTAAGACAATGAAAGACAAAAGGGAGGAATAAAGCTGTTGTACATGTGAGTGCACATTAAAATTCAATTAGGCAACTGACTTAACCAATTATAAACTTCCACATGCCAAAGCACTCTGAGAGAGAAGGGGTATCTGCTATATCTACCATGGGCAGAGTCTTTTTGAAGATGAGTGAGGTAAAGGATATCTAAACTCAGAAATGAAATGTGGAATCTAGAAGATATCAAGTATTAGTTAAAAACAATCTTATTCAGAATTTCTGGCTTTTTAAAAATTTACTTTGAAAAACTCTGGCATTTAAACCCAGTATTTCACCACTTACATACTTTTCACATTAAAGTTATTTTATAAATGACAAAAAACAGAGACAACCATATTGGGTTTTGTTTTGTCTGTAAAAGGGGGTCTTATGTACCCAAAGATAGCCTTGAATTCATAGTACTCCTACCTCCGACTCATAAGCACTGGGAAACACACCACCATGATGGCTACCACACTTTAGTCTTAAATATTCATCGACTATATGAGAAGAGTTTTAAAAGGAAATACAGCATTTGCTCACCTTGTCCTCCTAAAATACCCGTTGACTTCACAACCATCTCAAGCTTTTTGTCCCATGTAAATGTTCGAATATAATCTAGGGATGGAAAGAGGGCAGCATGAACAGAAAAGCTGTTGCAAGAATAAGCCAGAACAGTAGCATGCCTATTACCACTTCTATGGCACCTTTACCAGTGTTGCTCCAAGGGTTGTCCCCACTTGCTCTGGTTAATTCTCACAACTGTGGCACAGTACCTCCATTTTGGGGGGAAGAGGGTAGAGACAGGGTTTCTCTGTGTAGCCTTGGCTATACCGGAACTTGCTCTGTAGACCAGGCTGGCCTTGAATTCACAGAGATCAACCTGCCTCTGCCTTCCGAGCACTGGCATTAAAGCTGTGCACCACTACACCTGACTCAGTGCCCCCTTTTAAAGAGATTATCATTACCTTTTAATTTATATATTTTTTGAAATGAAGAAACTGAATAGAACAGACTAGAATAAAAACTTGTTAGCCTGAAATTATAAATGAAAGCTTCCAAAAACATTCAGTGTAATATCATATTAAACTAATTCAATAGAATCTTTGAAATTCTATTCTAGCTTTAGTCATGCACTATAAACAAAGTACAGTTACCTATGGCTTACCTATGATTCCAACTACCAGCTCATTGCTAGTGTCATCTCGACCAACCAGCAAAGAATAGTCTATAATGAGGTGGCTTGAAAGGAAATGGGCATCGCTATGGATGGAGGTTCTCAGCACAGATTTTGAATGGGAACGAATATACAGAGGGTTGTCTCGAACCATCTTTAGGAGGTTTTCATCCAGTAGAACCACATCACAACTCTCTTTCCCAGTGTCAGTTTTTACATTTCGATTCCTAAGCGAACCCTTCAAATCAAAAACCTAACAAAACAAAAATTCTTTATTATTTGTGCAAATTTGCCAAAATGTTTAATTGGTGCAATTAAAAAAAGAGTTCTTATAGTTACTACCACAATAAATATTTTTAAATTTTATTTCAAAATTTAACTTTTCTAATTTAAGTCATAAATATGCAGCAATATAACTATATAATACATGAAGTAATCAGTATATGATACATTAAATTCATGGTGATACAATAGCATCATATGAAATAATACACAGATACCCAGTTACTAAAATAATTCAGAGATAATCTGTCAATTTAACCAATATTAAAATACATTAACAAGTTTATCATTGGATTGTCCAACAGTATGAAAGAAGAATAGTCTTAGGAAATAGTCTTAGGAAATTTAAAACACTAAAAACTCTATACAATTACTTAAAGCGATATACAAATGAGAACATAAATTTCAGACAATCTAGAGGGTAGGAAATGTCAAAAAACTTAATGACTAGGACCAGTTCATCCTAGAGTATGTTCTACCAGTGCTAGGCAACTAATCTGCTTGTGAACATGCTATTGCTACTGGCAGAATTAAGAACACAGTGTAGCTCAGCCTGTGTTGTCATACAAAGATGTTATCACTGACAAACTACTACACTGAATTCGATGTAAGCACAAAGCATTCGTCTTCACACTAGAAACAGCTGAAGGAGCAGCACTTGGAAAAGCACTGTTAAAGTCTAGACTGGGTGCCTTGTTAGCCACAGCAGGTAGTAATGCCATTCTCATAAGCTCTAGACGAAGCTGCAGTCTGAAAACAGTGAAGTGGCTGACAGGAGCTTAGAATCTCCAGGTCTCAGCCAAGTCAGTTTTGAAGTTAAGATGGTAGAACACCTGCCTTCTTAGTCCACCAAATACCTGACTCTAGAACATTGCATATATTAAATTTTAGGATGAATTACATACCAATCTTTCTTTCTTCCAAAAAAATAAGTTAAATGGGTACCACTGACTAACACGTTACTCAGATTTGCTACACTAAAAAACCAAAGTTCAAAAGCTCCTCACAGCTGAACGCCTCACGGTCCAGTGTCCTCACCTGTGCCATCTTTCTCCCATAGAAAAGATTTTCCATGACAAGGAGATCTAACTTCTTCTCTGTGTTGTTCTGAGAGTTCTTATAACCAATTCTGTAAACGCCAAGAATTTTAGCCAAAGCCGTGGGCCTCTAATCAAGAAAAGATCAAAATAAACTATTACCAAAATAAGAATATCTGTAAGTCATATGATATCTGGTTTTTCCATTTAACAGCTTAGAACGATTTTCTATTGATATACCAGGAATAGACCTTTGACCCCTTTAGTGTCAGAAACTGCAATTGAATATAACACATGTCAGTAACAGCAGTAGTGGATACATATATTGCACAGCATGAGAGCCCTTCAGTGTTCAAATTTAAAAACCTTATCATCATATGGACATCATTTCCCCAAGCAATCTACAATAAATTAATGCTTGACAACAATTAAAAAAAAAAACTATATTTACAGGACAAGGTCACTGCTCAATGACAAAAACATGAGCCACTCAGTGGTTTCCTTTCTAGCTCAGAAAGCATTTCCTCATTTCTCAACATATGCTTCACACTTTTTTCTCAATAAAAATATGTTATTAAGTAGGCACCTAATTTCACCTGGTCTCAATATCTTACATTAACTTTTATATGTATGTAGGTATGTACACAACAATCAAAAGCTAATTGCTTGAGGTTACATGGTTCCTCAAAGGCAGGAAAACTATCTACAAACTGCTTTCCATCACATGGCAACAGAATAAGAGAGATCCAAGTACTTTCTGCTCTTGCCACACAGACAACTTCTATCAGACAAACTAAGAATATAAAAAAGCCCAGTGTTGCTCCCTAATCACCTCCCCCTGGGGGTAGAGCCTTGGCAGGCCACAGAGGAAGATAATGCAGCCAGTCCTGATGAGACCTGATAGGCAAGAGTCAAATAGAAGGGGAAGAGGACCTCCCCTATCAGTGGAATAGGGAGGGGGATAGGAGGAGAAGGGGGAGAGTGGGATTGGGAGGAGATGAGAGAGGGGGCCACAGCCTGGATACAAATTGAATAAATTATAATAAATGATAATAATGAGTCTCGGCATATGTTTTGATACCCTGTTGGGTAGAGTCTTTCAGAAGCCCTTTGTGATAAGCTCCTGTCCTATTCCCTGTTTTTTCCCTCTTCTGATGTCCGTCCCATCTGCCTTTCTGAATGAAGATTGAGCATCTTACCCAGGGTCCTCCTTCTAGATTAGCTTCCTAAAGTGTACAGATTTTAATATGATTATCCTATATTATATGTCTAATTTCAACTTATAAGTGAGTATATACCAAGTGTGCCTTTCTGCTTCTGAGATACCTCACTCCTTTGGGCAGAGTGCAGGGAATCTTATGAAAGAAGGGGAGATAGAAAGATCTGGAAGGGACAGGAGCTCTACAAGGAGATCAAAAGAACCAAAAAATCTGGGCACAGGGGTCTTTTGTGAGATTGATACTCCAAACAAGGACAATGCATGGAGATAACCTAGAACCCCTGCATAGATGTAGCCCATGGCAGCTCAGTGTCCAAGGGGGTTCCCAAATAATAGGAACAGGGACTGTCTCTGACATGAACTCAGCAACTGGCTCTTTGATCACCTCCCCCTGAGGAGGGAGCAGCCTTACCAGGCCACAGAGGAAGACAAAGAAGCCAGTCCTGATGGGACCTGATAGGCTAGGGTCAGATGGAAGGGGAGGAGGACCTCCCTATCACTGGACTGGGAGAGGGGCATAGGAGAAGAAGAGGGAGGAAGGTTGGGATTGGTAAGGGATAGGGGAGGGGGCTACAGCTGGGATACAAAGTAAATAAACTGTAATTAATAAAAATGAAATGAAATTTTTAAATTATAATATTAATAAAAAATACAAAACAAACAAACAAACAAACAAAGCCCAGTGCACTGTGACCATAAGCCAGCATTTAGGATTCCTACCTTTTGTTGAACAGCATTTGTGATATAATTGAAGTAGTGTGGCGCAAAGTCAAGGAAAGACTGGACTTCCAGACGAGGCATTTGCTTCAGAATGAATCTATCATCTACAAGGAGGAAATTCCACATTTATTTATCACAATACATATTGTCTCTTGTGAGAATGAAAGTGAAATCATTCCAGAGAACCCAAGTCATCTGTTTCAAGGCATTCTTTTCAACCACATAGTGAAAATTTTGATCAGAAAGTAATTCTCAAGTGATTAAAATGCTAGGCACCCCGAGGCTTACATAGATAAGAACAACTACTTCTCAAGTGTACCCTCAAATCTAAGTTCAAAGCATGAATTCATTCATTTATTTTTTTAAACTCTTAAAGAAAATGTTAAAACTCCACTGCTACTTCAGTAACTCTTGAAGTTATTAAAGTTTTTATTAAGTGACAAATGTACACTCTCTTCAGTAATTCTGGATTCAGTCAGTGTGCAAATGTTATTGGTAAGCCTGTTTAAGAAAAATCTTGTTCTCTCTACATTCTGGCCAAACATTTCTACTGTTACCTTTTATCAGTTCTGTAGCACCCAATTCAGTTTCCTACATATGCTTTGGTATGAATTTGAAATGTCCCCCACAGCCCCATGTTTTCAAGCGTGTTCAGTCTGGTGATGCTATTGTGGGAAGGTATGAAACATTTAGGAAGTAGGGGCCAGTTGTTGAGCAGAGAAAGACTATCCCCATCCCTCACTTGCTGCTTTCCTGTCTGTCATGATGTGAATGTTACCTGTCATCACATGCTCCCACTGCCAACCACCCAGGGGCTGAATCATGAGCCAAAATAAATCTATCTCCACTTAAGCTGTTTCTGTCAGGGATTTTGATCACAGAGATATGAAAGTAACTAACAGTTTCTACATGCATTTGGAAAACTCAGAACCAGAAAGTTCAGTAAGTATCTGACCAATGTCTGAGCCTATACAGTGTTTTAAGATTTTTTTTACTCTTCTCAGAAACAGAAAGAAACTAAAGGATTTTATTCAGCTAATACACAATGCCTACTTCAAGGGCTTCTCCTATAGTCTCAAGGCAAAGAGTAGCAAGTGTTCCCCACCAGTGAGTGAAATGGATTACCTTCCGTGGCATAGAAAGCGGCTCCTGACTTGCCTCCCCGGGCCTGCCAGGGTGATGAGTGAGAAAGGGAGCGAATGAAATCTTCCTCACTGCTGCCCAAAATCACTTCACGCATCTTATGGAACTCTCCCGCATAGTACAGCCGACAGTAAAACTTGGCATTAGCATCCGAAAATTCTACAAAGAGATAACAAAAACAAACAAAAAAACAAAAGGTATATAAAGCAGAAAATTTCTTCTTCCCTCTCTAAGCACCAAGCACAACCATTAGGATTCTCCATGAGAACATCTTTCTTTCTTTCTTTCTTTCTTTCTTTCTTTCTTTCTTTCTTTCTTTCTTTCTTTCTTTCTCTCTCTCTCTCTCTCTTTTTCTCTTCGTGCATGTGTGTGTATGAATCCAATAAGTTTATTAGTCCTCACCACAGCAAAAAGATATTACTATTTCAGGCTTCTGTCTATACACAATACTGATTTCTCTGGATGCCAACTCTTGCTTTTCCCTATCCAATTTTTTTTTTATATTAGTTTATTTACTTTACATCTTGAGGATGCCCCCCATGCATACACACTTCCCCTCCCTTGGGGCTTTCAGAGACTGAGACAACTAAGGAGCATGATCTGGACCTAGGCTCTCTAAACACATGCAGCTGACAGGCAGCTTAGTCTTCATATAGGGTGCCTGGGAAGGAGTGGGGCTGTTTTTAACATGGACTCCATTGCCTGCTTTTGGATCACTTCCCCCAGGCAGCAATACCTTGACTGGCCTTAGGGGATCAAGATATACTCAGTTGTGGTGTGCCCTGACATACCAGGAAGGGCTAATATGGGGGGTGGGGGTGAGAAGAGCATCTTTCGTAATGCAACTGTGCTATGTCAGCTTCACAGTATCAGGAAATATCATCTGACCACACTCTTACTCATCTTCAAAGAACTCAATAGAAGACTCTGCTCTACCTCTACACTGGCTGCTGTTTTTCTTCACCATACTTTTAAAGCAATTCTTTTTTTTTTTTTAACCCTTTAAAAAATTATTTTACTGAGGTTCACATATACAATTCATGTGACGTATACAATTCAGGGCCTTTGCCTGTTCACAGAGTTATGTAAATACCATCACATTTTATTTTTCTTTTTTAACTTTATATATATATATAAAGTTTATTTATTTATTTATTTATTTATTTGCAGCTTTGTATCCCGGTTGTAGCTGCCTCCCTCATCTCCTTCCAGTCCCACCCTCCCCCACCCCCTCCCTAATCCCTCTCCTCCTAGTCCACTGTTAGGGGAGGTCCTCCTCCCCTACTGTCTGACCCTAGTCTATCAGGTCTCATCAGGACTGCCTAGCTCTTCTTCCTTTGAGGGCTAGCTAGGTCACCCGAGCAAGAAGAAGTGATCAAGGAGCAGGCAACTGAATTCATGTCAGAGACTGTCTCTTCTCCAATTACCAGGAACCCCCATGGAGACTGAGCTGCCCATAGGCTACTGAGCAGGGGGTCTGGGTCCTCTCTATGTATCAGTTGATGCATCAGTTACTGCAGTCCCCCCTGGGCCCAGCTCTTTTGGCTTTGTGGGTCTCCTTGTGGGGCTCCTGTAATTCTTCAACAATGTCTTTTATGAGCATATAATACCGAAGATTGAGCCCAGTGCCAAAAACATGCTAGGCAAACACTTCATCCCAGCCCTAAATAAATACCTTAATGCTGCTTGCCAAGCTCCATGTCTCTCAATCACATAGTAAGAAAATAGTTAAATTAAAGTATAATTTGTAAATAAATTATAATTTAAATTAAATAATACAAATTTTTATAAATTGAATTATAGATTAAATAAAACTCGTACAACAGCTAACAATTTTTTAAAAATCAGTACATTTACCTAGAATGAAGTTACGTATCTTATAGTCCCTGTCCTTAGACAAAATGTTATTGCATACTTACGAAGTTCCACATGAGGATTTGTGAGTTGTTTCTTCTGTGTATCTCCTCCGTCTACCTCATCTAAAAGGTTTAATATCATTAGTAAAAGCAAAACATTAGTAATAAGTTCATTTTTCCTTTTTTACTAAATAGAGCAACAAATGTTAGCAAAGCAGCAATAAAAATATCCTAGTCAAATCACTACAGAATACCCATTAGACAGATAAATTGTACAAATGTCTACAATAAGAATGTATGCTCTTTCCTAGGATTTCAATATTTCAAGCTGGATCACTTTTCTTACATGTAAGTGATTTCTGTGACAGCAATACTGTAAACTCAGCTTTTATACAAAGAATTCTCATGGTTTCTCTACCCATATTTATTGATACTATTTTCTAGGTACATATGTAAAAAATGCTTCTTTGATATAATAAAATCTTAGTAAACATCCTAATATTTCAAAGACAAATCATCCCATAAGTTTCACATTTCAAGGCATTGTATCCCTTCATATCCCATTATAGATTATAGACATATTATAGATATCTATAGTCTAATGGTAACATACAGAATATTAAACAGACATCTTAATTACTAGTAAAAAAATGTTTCAGTTGCTGTTATTTTTTGTTTTGTTTTGCTGTGTTTTGAAGGAGGGTGTTACCATATGGCCTAAACTACCATGAACTCACAATCCTCCTGGCTCAGCCTCCTGAATCTTAGGATGATAGTTGTGTACCACCAAGCCAATCTGCAGTTTTGATTTCTTTTCTTTTTTTATATACTATCTGTTGATCATATTCTTTGCCCTCCCCCAGTTTATGCAAGATCCTCCCCACCTTCCTACCCACCCAATCTCATGGTCTTATGTTTTCTCCCTCTTTCTAAAGAAACAAAGACAAAAAACAAGAGATGAAAGTCAAAACAATAACCTAGTAAAACAAAAAATACCAAAACAGAACATACACACATACAAAAAAACAAAAGCAAACACAAAGCACACAGTTTGTTTTGTGTTGGCCAATTGCTCCTGCACATGGGGCCTACCCTGGAGTGTGGTGGAAAAACCCAATGACACTCCACTGGAGAGAACCGACTCTCCTTTCCCAGCAGGAATCAACTGCTAACAGCTTCTTGGTTAGGAGTAGGGCTTTACAAACAAGACAAAATCCCTGCATGAACAAGAAAGTACAGTTGCTAGCTTTTAAACTACTATTCCATGACCTAACTTACAAATCACCAAACAATTTCTCTATAGAGCCAAATAGGAATTCATTCACTAAGCTACAACTATTCAACTGGCCAATTTAATGCAAAGCAATCAGACAACAGGAAATGAATGCACATGCCCATATTCTGATAAAACTTTAAAAAAAAAAAAAGGTAGCAGGGTTGATCAAATTTGCCAAATCCAAACATAATTAGGTAAATATAGTTTTTAAATATCAAAATGAAGGTGCATATAAACAGCCATAATATTGCAGGGACTGGGAAAAAAAAAGATACAAACAACATCTGGAAGGGGTAGTCGGATATTAAGTATATATATTAAGTACATATATAGTAGGATATTAAGTACATATTGTAAATTATGTTTACATGTATAATACCATTTAGCTTTTACTTCTTTTCGGATACAGACACATAAGAAATAACAAGTACAGACATTTGAAGCCAGATTGATTCCAAGTCCCATGCTGCTTCTGGTCTAGTACACAGAGCATTATAATGAAGAGAATGCCCTGTCCTCAGCAAAGTTATTTACTTAAAGCTGTAAGAAAATACACAAAGCTAATTAATTCACGCTTAAAACAAGCACACATGGCCAACTGAACATACCTTGCGGCTCAAGGCCTTGATTCTCTGTCCCCTCCTTGCCGGTCTGCCCAACCTGGTAGTAAGCACTGTCTGCCCCGCGTAAGGTCTCCCTCTTCTGAGAAGAGAGATCGGGGCTCTTCCCTGCTGTTCCTCTGAAGAAAGACAACATTCCCGAAGCTTTTTTGGCTTAAAAATAAAAGATAACATTAATTTAGGCAGAGGTCACTAAAGCTCGAAAATAGACGTTTTCAGCCTTTTGTTGGCAGTAACCATTGCATGATGCTAATGAGTCTGTATCATGCAGATTCTCTTTATAGATGGCAATTCCACATGCTACTGCTATTTGTAGTCAGTAAGTGCCCTCATCAGAAACACGATAATGTTCTGCTGATTGAAGGTCACAATGTAAGAAATTTTCCAGAAAGCCACTCAAAACTCTTTTAAAAGCAGTCATATTTTAAGCAGTAGAATAAACTACTGAGTTCTTGTAGTATAGCAATAGAGTATGCCTGGTCCAACCAAAGACCCACCCTACCAGAGAGCACCAACCTCCCTCCCCCCGACAATATGAACAATACTCTGCTAGGCCTGGAGACAACCCTGACTGACTTGTCCTCTGAGAGGCTCTACCCAGCAGCGCCTCAAAACAGATGCTGAGACTCATGGCCAAACATTAGGCAATGCGAAGGGAGTCTTGTGGAAAAGTGGGAGGAAAGAGAACAGCACCTGGAAGTGACAGGCGTTCCACAAGAAGATCAACAGAGCCAGCTAGCCCAGAGTCATAGCCAACTAACCAGGGACCAAAGGCACCCTTGCTGAAACTGAAGCATCAACCAAGGACCATGCATGTTCTGAACCTATGCTCCCTAAAAAGATGTAACAGATGGGCAGCTTAAGCTTCATTTGGGTCCTCTAGTAAGGGGAATGGGGACTGCAAGGAACACAGGCTCACTTTCCAGCTTTTTCATCACTTTACTCTGGTGGGACTGCTTTGCCAGGCCACAGGGGAAAAGGACATGTTCAGTCCTGATGCAACTTGATGAGCTGGGTTGGGTGGGAAAGAAAGCTTCCCTTTTCTCTTGCCTTTTTATTTATAGTTTTGAGTTTCATTCATCATATTAATATATATTATTCTAATAATTTATCACTTACAAAATCCATAGAGTATCAATCATAAAAGTGCTTAGTATCCACTGGTATACAAGTCTTTGCTAACAGAACAGCAATTTTTGTGGAGATAGCCTCGTATAAAGACCCAAAAATGGATGGTGATTCATATAAACACAGAAGTGGCTGGCACAAAGACTCAGTCCTGACCAGTTAAGACTGGAGGGCACAAAAGGACTTGTAATAGTAGTGAAAATACACCCTACACCACTCTTTTCTGCTTCAACACAAACTTGGAGTATCATGTCTTTTTAAAGAAAATGAAAAAAAATCAAAGAAAACAAAATCCCTCTATTGTCAAAGCAATGCTGAGCTCAATACCAGCAACTGCCTGCTTCTACAAATGTCACCTTAGAAAAATAACTTGTTTGTTAAGCCTCTAGAGTCAGTTGAGCTTCTGGAACTACTAACCCAGACAGTTAACAAGATTCACCTTCAAGTTCCAGCTCTAGCCTTCAGCCAGTTAATTTGTCAAAACCTCCACTTCCTTCCTAAACATACGGATACAGCAGATAATTTGTATGTGGAGATGTTTAAAGAATACATTACTGAGAGTTTTCAATATACCAATAAAAACATAAAATTTAAAAACTGTACACTGTTGTTGCTTCTTAAGGTAAAAGGTTAAGACAGATCCTCTTTCTGCACATGAGGATTCTACAAGTTTTAAATTCTGCAAGTTGAATCTACGTTTCAAATAAGACTCAAAGAAGAAGCAAACCATCTATAAAAGAGATATTAAAAAATGTTTAATTTGGGGGTTGAAGAGAAGGCTCAGCAGTTAAGAGCACTAGCTGCTCTTCCAGAGGACCTGGGTTCAATTCCCAGCACCCACATGGCAGCTCACCACTGTCTTCAACTCCAGCTCCAAAAGTTCTAACACCTTCACATAGATATATATGCAGGCAAACATCAATGTACATAAAATAAAAATACTTTATAAAAATGTTTATTTTTCAAAGACCAATTCTTACCAAATGGCATTTCTTACCAATTTTGTTTTCTTTAACAAATCATAAATACAACAAATACAGACATGTTTGCATGTGGGGCCAGTGAGATGACTCAGCAGTAATGGGCACTTTTCTCCAGGCCAGAGAACCTGAGTAACATCAGTGAGACCCACATAGTAGGAGAAGACTGACTCCCGTAAGTTGTCCTCTGGTTTCCACATCATGCTAACACACATTCCAACTCACACACACAAATAAATAAGTGAATGAACAAACAAAGAATGAATGAATGAATGAATGAATACAATAAAAGCCCCAAGTCTTACTTGGTTGCGGTTCTCCTTCTCCTGTACGGCTTGTCTGCCCTCCACTGATTTCAGGTAATCTAATAGGGCTGCTGCTCTTTGGTCTGTTATCTAAAGCACTACCATGAAAAAAGAAAATTAGTTTGAAGATATTCAGATAAAAGAAAACAAGCATTCTAATTCATAAACCAATGTATTTCTTACCCAACACCACCCTCAATACCAGAAATCTCATTCATGATCTTGAAAAACACAAGTTACAAAAACTCTTGAAATATCTACTAAGTTTAAGGAAAAACAAAACAAAACAAAACTAGAACTAGTATTTTATACTAGAACTAGAAAAGTATATAAAAATGTAAAAAAAAATACTTTAATAAAATTTTCCCAACCTGTTGGAACGATAAGTCAATTACAGAAATATGCCAATTTCATGTTTCTTACTTTAGTCACAAAGATAATTCAGACAAAATCTTATCAGGCCAGTAAGACAGAAGAATTTATTTCAGTAAGGATAAGCCTATGCCAATTTCTGTCTAAAACAAATGTAGCCCATGGTAGCTCAGTGACCAAGTGGGTTTCCCTAGTAAGCGGAACAGGAACTATTTCTGACATGAACTCAATGACTGGCTCCTTTACCTCCCCCATCAGCCCTGTGGGAGGAACAGTCTTGTTAGGCCACACAGGAGGACATGGCAGCCAGTCCTGGAGATACCTGATAAGCTAGGGTCAGATGGAAGGGGAGGAGGACCTCCTCTAGCAGTGGACTTGGAAAGGGGCAGGGAGGAGATAAGGGACGGAGGGTGGGACTGGGAGAGAATGAGGGAGGGGCCTACGGCTGGGATACAAAGTAAACAACCTGTGATTAATATAAAAATAAAATTAAAAAAAAGAACATGCTAAGTTTGAGTATTTTCTAAGTATTAGGATGTTTAGTACTATGGAAAATTTACAAACACTTAAAATTATAAAGCCAAGCAGTAGCACAACTAACTTTACAGGTTACTAATTTTTAAACAAAACAGCCGGTTCTTTTTATCATTAAAAAAAATTGCAAGTTTTAATCTGCAGCATGATTCATCACAGCAATGTCAGAAGTTATATCCTAAGGGCTTTTTAAGACTTGAATTTTGTTGCTCCAACAGTTAATGAACGATGTAAAAACAAATTATGTGATACAAACTAGTGAAACTAATTATGTGAATCCCAGGAGATTTTATGCTGATATGTGCTATCAGAAAACTAAAGTATAAGGATATAAAAAACAATGATACAGCTTAATTTAAAAAGATTTTACTCAATCACGAATCACCTATTTGTTGGAAGCCCTTCTTCAGCAGTGTTCCACAGAGTTGCTTTGGACAATTCCTCTAAGGCATTTCGGTATTCTTTACAACTTAGGGCAGAAATAGGTTGAAAAATGTTAAACATTAAGCTCTTCTTTAACAATAAATCTTAAGTTTTAAAATAAGTTTTGCATTATAGAAGCATAATCATTCTATGTGTCCACAATTAAACAAATACACTAGGAATTAACAAAACTGATCAAGCTTTATGAAGATTAATGTCTTCACAAAGAATTAAAACTTACCAGCTCAACAACCATATTCAATAATCTTAACAATGATCCAAAAACACTGTATAAGGGGCAGGATGTAGCTCAGTAGGAAAGCTCTTGCTGAGCATCTAGAGGCCCTGGGTTTAATGACCTTCAGCAACCTCTACACAATTCCCCCCAAAAGAAAGAAATTTGAAAGTAACTTTCTATTTAAAAGGACTAAACTTTTTAAACATAAATAAATAACATCCCAAAAGCTTAAAAATCTGATTCTTGGATTAGCAGCCTAGACTGCCAATATGCATTATTTTTCTAAAACATTGAGAGATGTGCTTGGGTAGAACACTTGCTTCCTACTATAAAGAATGATTACAGTTTATGCCTTTAATATCTATTGATGGAGCGTGATTATTAAGAGAAGCAAGTATTATCTTCATAATGCTAAGGCACAAAGAAATGAATCACTATATAGTCTCCTGTAAAGTAAAAAAAAAAAAAAGAAAAAAAAAGAAATTCTTATCTAAAGTAAACTCTGAACTCCATGAAGGTAGAAGCATATACAACTATACTGTTTACTCTGCTATCTGCAGTATCTACATACCACATTTTGTTTATAATCAAATGTTATTCAATAAATAGGACACTTTGTAATCAATATATAAAAAGATTTTTTTTACTTTTATATTTTACAATGGAAAATTTTAGTTAAGTACCTCAGATGTTACTTAAAACTAAATTCACCTACTGTCAAAATAGCTTTATAAATGAGATGCTGAGGATTTAGACACTAGATATAAATATTTTAAAGGTACAATGCTTCTTTAAGACCATGGTAACTACCTAAGTTAAATATCCAAGCTTGTCTTTGGAATAAAATGCAGGAACAACATTCTTTAGATGGGAAAATTTCAGCCAGTATGTGTGCAAATGGGTATGTTTCACTGTTACCTTAACAACTAAACCACAGTAACAGTTACCAGGTATATATTAGACAGAGAGGTCAGCATATTCAAGGGTTAGTAGATACCATGGCAGGTCACATTAGTTACTAAATATTTGCTTAAAAGCCATGCCACACCCCATGATTTCAGTGAAGGTTTTCAAATATAATGTCACGCCTAGCAAACATACATTTTTGCTTTTATCTAAGGAGCCCCCAGACAGCATAACTAACAGACAGACTTACAACACACAGATGGAACGACAGGGAAGGCTCATGATACCTGAGTGCAAAAGCAATGATGGAGCTGGGCTCTTTCTCACAGACGGCAATGGGCACCCGCTCATGTTCATACATTAAATAGTGTTTATCTGGATCACTGCTCAATAAAGTAAGAGTAGACTTAGAAATAAATGAAATACAAAACTAATTAACACAGTACAATCAAATGTCAGAACAATTTAAGATAACTAAATACTGAGCAATATGACCATCATTAAGAAAACCAAAATGCACGCAAATGCTAAGAAATAAAATGAAATACACAATAAAAAAAGAAAGTTTATCCATCAGTTGGAAAATTGTCAAAAGTAGGTTTGTAGTTAGAGAGATGGCTCAGCAAATAAGAGCACTAGGGCCAGATCTTAATTCCTAGCACCCACATGTCAGCTTGCAACTGTCTCTTACTCCTGTCCTGGGGAAATCCCATGCCCTCTTCTGGTCTCTCCAAGTACTGGGCACACACCTGATACACACACATATATGCAGGCAAAATATCCATACACATAAAATAAAAATTAAAAGGTAAGTTTCAAATCAGAGGGTTCTAGAATAGTTACACCAAAGTTTTATTTTACATACTGCTAAAACCTTGGCCACACTAGTCTTTTTGCAATAAATAATCTAAAATACATTGCTCTATTCAATCCTCAGAAATGCTTCCTAGTAGTTATGTAGAAACCATGCCTCTACTTCCACAAGTAACAAAACAAAGCCACTCTACGGAAACCAAATGTTGACTCTATTTCAACCCAAATTTTGCTCCTTCTAACTCCATTGGGAATCATCAGGCAGAATCATTGATGTTATTAGAAGCCATTTACTGACTATCCAGTGTGGGAGCTTTATTCATAATGGCCAGAATCTGGAAACATCCTAGACATCCCTCAAGTGAAAAATGGATACAGAAATTGTGGTACATTTACACAATGAAATACTACTCAGCAATTAAAAACAAAAACAAAACAAAAAAAAAATCATGAAATTTTCAGGCAAATGGATGGAACAAGAAAAGATCATCCTGAGTGAGGTAACCCAGAAGCAGAAAGAAACACATGGAATATACTCACTTATAAGTGGATATCAGTAATATAGGATAAACATACTACTATCTACAGTCGTTAAGAAGCTAAACAAGGAGGACCCTGGGGAAGAGGCTTAATCCTCATTCAGAAGGGACAACACGACAGACATCAGAAGTAAGAGAAGACAGGAAACAGGGCAGAAGCCTTTCACAGGGGGCCTCTGAAAGACTTTCCCTATCAGGGTATCGAAAAGCAGATGCTGAGACTGATGGGCAGAGTGCAGAGAATGGTATGGAAGAAGAGTGAGATAGAAGGACCTGGAGGGAACAGAAGCTCCACAAGGAGAACAACAGAGCCAAAATATCTGGGCTCAGGAGGTCCTGCAGAAACTGATGAATCACCCAAGGACCATGCATGAAGAGGACCTAGAACCCCTGCTCAGATGTAGCCCATGGGTGGCTCAGTCTCCATGTGGGTTCCCTATTAAGGGGAACAGGGGCTGTCTGTCTCTGACATGAACTCAGTGGCCAGCTTTGATCACCTCCCTGGCAAGGTGGCCTAAGTAGGCCACAGAGAAAGAGGATCCAAACAGTCCTGATAAGACCTGATAGGCTAGGGTCAGACAGTAGGGGAGGATGACCTCCCCTATCAGTGGACTACGAGAGGGACATATGGGGGAGGAGAGGTAGGACTGGGAGGAGATCAGGAAAAGGGCTACAGCCAGAATACAGAGTGAATAAATTGTAATAAATAATAATACAAAAATTTGTTTAAAAAAATCAATGGATATAGCAGTTATGTTTATATAGAGGTATATATGCTGTGTGTCTGTTTTCATAACTAATGTCTTTATGCATTAAGCAACAATAATTAATGTTTTCTTCGTCCATGCTCTACTATTATATGCCAAAAGCCATCTCTTTTACTAGAATGATGTAAATCTAGAGTTAAGAAACATATTTGCAGATTAACTGATCAAAATATAGAGTACGTAGCAAGAGACACTAAGTTTTGAAATACTTACAAAGGAAATGGAATGGGAGTATAGCTGTTTCCTGGAAGCAAATTAGCAAAGATGGCTTTCATGGTTGACTTTTCCTTCACTTGGCTGTCTGTGGATCCCAGCAAATGCCCATCAAATACATCTAGGATGAAAAATATCCTATTTATCCATGAACATTCAAGTAAAACAAAAAGTAAAGCGTCTGTTTTGTTTATTTTTCTCTTGAGAATACAGACATAGTGAGCATCACAAATATAAACTATGGTTTATATTTTCTGGTCTAAGATAATAGCTCTTGGGAAATGAAATGTACTCAGCATGCACTCTAAGAGGCATGTTTAATTCCTCACATTTGAAACTGAGATCATGCTATTTCAGTGGTCTCTTGCCACCACAGGACCCCCGAGGGAATTACTGTGTGAGCATGCCTGAGCTGCCACAGTGCTGCCCTCCAACTCACAGATGTGCACTCTGGTTACTACACCTGAGCTTAACAGCAATGGTGAGGTGAGCCCAAGTTTAGAATTAGGCAGTTATTGCCTAACAAAAACCAAGGAAAAGAAAAGCAAGGCATAGGTTATTATAATGTAAATGTTTGTTGAAAAAACATGGTGGAAATTTCTTTCACTTTGCAAAGCAATAATAATACAGTTTAAACACCTTTAAAAAGATGCCCCCAAAGGGTGGCTAACACTGAATAATATTATTTTACTAGGACATTTACATACACAAAGTGATGTATGTCAAGTAGTGCAAATAATGGAAGGAGGGCCAAAATGAAAGGCTTTATTTAAAAAGGTACTTTTTAAAATAGTTTATTATTTTTTATAGACATGAGTGTTTTGCCTGAATATCTATATGTATACCATAAGTTTGACTGGTGTCCAAGGAGAGGTATCAGAAGAGCGAATCAAATTTCCTGGAACTAGAATTACAAACAGTTGTGAGCTGCCATGTGGGTGCTGGGAATCAAACCCAGTCCTCTGAAAAGCAGCAGGTGCTCTGAACATTGAGCCATCTCTTCAGCCCCTTAAAAATGTCCTTTAAACAAACATTAAATTAAAAAAAAATCTAAAAGATAAGAAAGCAATATGCCAAGTACCATGCATGGAGATAACCTAGAACCCCTGCACAAATGTAGCCCATGGCAGTTCAGTGTCCAAGTGGGTTCCATAGTAATGGGAACAGGGACTGTCTCTAATGTGAACTGATTGGCCTGCTCTTTAATGACCTCCCCCTGAGGGGGGAGCAGCATTACCAGGCCACAGAAGAAGACAATGCAGCCACTCCTGATGAGACCTAGGATCAGAAGAAAGAAAAAGAAACCCTCCCCTACCAGTGGACTTGGGAAGGGGCATGCGTGGACAAGGGGGAGGAAGAGAGGGATTGGGAGGGGAGGATGGAGGGAACTAGAGGAAGGATACAAAGTAAATAAAGTATGATTAAAAATAAAATTAACTAAAAATTAAAAAAAAAGCAATATTCAAAGAATTAGCCATGTTTTTGATGTTGTTTTGGTTTTTTTTTTTTTTTTCCCCAGAGACACATATAAAGCAAGGAATCATCTCAGTCTCAGACTCAATGAAGTTGAATAAAATGTGGCCCAAACCTTACCTTCAGAGCCACTGGCAGTATCTAGGTCGGAGGGCCCTCCCACTAACTGCTCAGCCAGTGCCTCAGGAGGAGTGGGAAGCTGAAGATGGGCGGAGCTCGTGGAGCTCTGACTGGACAGGGTTGTCAAGAATCGATCCTCTAAAGAAATACAATCAATCTTAAATGAATCATTTAAAACAACCAGTCCTAAAACTCACCTAATAATACTTTTCAGATACCAAATCATATTTCTACTTCTACTTCTTTTTGTTTTGTTTTGTTTTGTTTTTTGAGACAGGGTTTCTGTTTAGCTTTGGCTGTCCTGGACTCACTTTGTAGAGCAGACTGGCCTTGAACCTATATTTCTACTTCTTAAAACAGAATTTCACCTTTTCATATATTATCGAGGTCATGTAATTCATGATTATATGATTGAACTACAAACAAATCTTGTGACAAAACTATATCAAACAATTCTGACCTCTACCCAACAATGTTACAATGTCTACCTAAATATTAATCGGCTTAATAGAGAATGGAATTAGAATGCTGTGGGAAAACAAACTTACATGCTCATTCTGAAAGACAAAAAAAATTAGTATTATTATTTTAAAAATGGTAAGTTCTATGCAATAGCCTGCCTACGTAAATTTCCTCAGTTTCTAAGATGATACCAAGTAATTGAAGAAAGAAATTTTAAATCTAGAAAACAATGTAATGGCATAAAGTATAAATTAATCATGCTAAGATAGATCCTTGTAATAGAATAGGGAGGCTGACCAGCATGAGCAAAAGAGAAACTCAATGACAGGTTTTGTTCTTTTCCTACTGGCTGCCTTCAACACATTGTATGCATTTCTACATCCTAATCTACATTCTCAAAACATACTGTATGGCAGTCTCAAATCAGTAAGACTTATAAATGCTGTATAAAGAGAAAAATAACTATGTGTATTAGAAAATGATACTCACATTAGCATTTAAAAGCAATTTACAGAGAAAAAAAAAATCTCTTTAAAGGCAAGAACAAGAGGTCACCAGACTGAAGACCAACCTTTTTCTCCATTGTGAAGTCCTGGAGAAATATTCCTTGGAGATGTGTCCATTGCACTTATCTATAGAGAAATAAATATTCTATTCTTAAGGATGCATTTTTTAAAATCACATTTTAAAAGTATTCTAACCTGGTGAATTTTGGAAATTATGACCTCAGGACCTGTTTCCACTAAAATATTACCTCTTTATAGTTTAAAGTAGCTCTTACCACTTTAATTAAACCTGAGTACATTCTTTTTGCTGAGTGATGGGATTAAAGGCGTGTGCCACCATGTCTGACTAAACGGCATTTATTGGTTCGGTTAAAAATAACCCTATTATATAAATATAAATATAAAAACTACCTGAAGAGTAAAGCTATTTTCCAAAGTAAAAAAATAAAAAAAATTCCACTAATGAAGAGTATCACTGTTTTACATTTTCAGAAATATCCTAGCTGTCTGGCTAACTAAAAGACAGTTAGGTTCTGTATTTACTCTCCTGAGATGTACCATTACAACACCAGCCCTAGCTTTACACAGACATGCAGTTTATAAAGAGAAATCTGCAGGCAAAGACCCATACTTTGAGAATGTTGCTGTGAGCAGTAACTCACACCTTGGCAAAGACATCTAGGACAGCTGTGTGGTCAAGTAAGCTTACTTAGTGCTTATCCATCTGGTGTATCTTCTTAACATTCTATCACTCATGGACATACATTATAAGGACTACAAGGCCCTAGACAATTTAGTTAGGAGCCGTTTCTTATGTCAGTAAATATTACCAAATAGAGAAATCTCACTGTGCACCTTCCACTAAATAACCCACCACTATTACCTACTCTGTCATCAACATTCTATTTTCTTTCGAGTTTTCTACAATCTTGGTCACTAAATCCTTCTGAGCCCATGTGTTTTCTTTCAGTCTCTTTTTAACCAAATGTTTAAGGTAAATGTTTCATGAGATACTATGGCCTTTGTTCACAAATGCATGCCATGTAACCAAGAGTAATTCCTAAACCAAAATAAGCACGCAAAACAATTTATGAAGGCAGTACAACAGCATTTCACATCAATTTTCAACCTTCCAATAGCACATCACCGACTGGGTGATGGTGTATTTTCAAGTTTATGCCTACAGACATTACTCAAAAGGCTATACACTGATACATCTTCAGCACACAGCGACATCATCAGGAGTCTGTGTTAGTTATTAACAGCCCTGAATTAGGTGGTAAATACTAACATGCACATCACCTTCGGTAACATTACTCTTTTCTAAACATTAAGAGGAAATACGGGAAATACAATTCCTAAGTAGTTGTTAAACAGACAAAAAGGAATTATTCTATTTCCTAAAATTTCTTAAAGCACCTAGATCTATCATTCCATCAAAACATTCCTCTAAAATAGTCTGCATGATGTAAAAAGAAACACTCTCTCAAAGCCCTTATGATATTAGAATACGAGGCCATTACACTAGCATTAATTTGTGTGAAATTTGGGAAACCTGGTAAGAATTCTAAAAGCTCAAACATATCCAGCTGCTAGTGCATATATTCTTATTCCAATTATTCCAACAAGCACAAACCTAAGTATTGCTGTGAAGAGATTTTGCAAATGTAATAGTGCCAAGTCAGCTGACCACAAAATAAAGAGAAATTCAGATACAAGTACTTTGAGTACACAAATCTTAAATCTATGTACATCAGAGATAAAGAGGTGATGTGAGCACAGGAAGGACTGGACCAGTGTTGAAAGCCTTGAAGATGAAGCTGACTGCAGGGCAGGGAATGCAAGCATCAACAGCTACCAACAGAAGATCTGTCACTATAGAAGCTGAGTCCTGTCAACATCCTGAATGAGCTTGGAAGATGCTGATCCTCAAAAATAAGAGAAACCAGCCAGGTGTGGTGGCACATGCCTGTAATCCCAGCAACTGGGGAGACAAAGGCAGGCAGATCTCTGTGAGTTCGAGGCCAGCCCAGACTGCAAAGTGAGTCCCAGACAGCCAAGGCTACACAGAGAAACCCTGTCTCAAAGAAGAAGAAGAAGAAAAAAAAAAAAAAAAAGAATCCAGTCATGCATGCCACTACAAAATAATAAATCCACATCTTTGAACACTAAGCTTGTGATACTTTGTTATCAACAAAAGAAAACAATCCAGTTGGAAAAGGAGCTATGTAGTGCAGACACCGTAAGAAGAGCTTCTCATTAAAGCACAGGGATAAAACACCCAAAGCTACACAGTAAGAAAAGTGAGGGCTTGAGAGAAGGGTCTGCAGTTAAGGGCACCTGCCACTCTTCAAGAAGACCTAGGTTTAGTTACCAATGTCCACATGCTGGCTCATAACCATCTATAACTCCAGTTCAAGGGGATCGATGCCCTCTTCTTGCTCTGTGGACTCTAGGCACATAAAAGGTACACATACATACATGTAGGCAAAACACTCATGCTCATAAAATAAGTAAACAAGCTGGGCGTGGTGGCACAAGCCTGTTATCCCAGCACTCAGAGAGGCAGAAGCAGGTGGATCTCTGTGAGTTTAAGGACAACCTGGTCTACAAAGTGAGTCCAGGATAGCCATGGTGACAAAGAGAAACCCTCTCTTGAAAAACCAAAATAAATGAATATATACATAAACAAACATATTTGAGAAAAAAATGAAAATTGAGCCCTCTACTATATACTTTACTATACACTTTTTCTCAAATGAGAACCTATAGCCTTTCCTTTGTAATATCATCAATAATGTCTCAGGTAGATCAGCCTTCTGACGAATATTTCAAATAAATAAATTATAACACATTATTTCAATTGGGGTTAGAAAATAAAAATAATCCAGATCATATCTCCCTGAACACTCAGTTTGACTGAAAACTTTATGCATTAAACTACCACTCCTAAGTGTTAGAAATCAAACTGTATATCCACTGATGAGACAGCAAAGACAACGCTATGCTTTATTACCTTGCTTTCTTCGCCTTGTCTCAGTCTCCCAGGACTGGGAGGAACCGAAGGCCTCTTTCTACCTTTTTCCTGCTGGAAAAGGTCCTGCAACCTATAGCCATAGGCAAAAAGGACATGGTTTTTTTTTTTTTCAATACCTTAAATTATATTTATAAACTTTTTCTTGTAATAGAGTTTATAGTTGTGCGTAGCCACTACTGAATTCTTATGATAGCCAAAGATGATTCATGGCACACTGACCCATTTCAATCCACTCAGTAGCACACACATTTGAAACAGCAAAGAGGGCTATTTTCTCTTATCTTAACAAACTATGTAAAGGCTGCAATATGTTTTAAAGGATGCAAAGAACAAAGGTCAAAAAATAAAAATTAAAAAAAAAACTGTAAGTAAGAAAAGGAATATCCATAATTAATAAAGATCATTACATTTAAAATACTGGGACTGGGAATTTAGCCAAGTAGTAGAGCACTGCCTAGCAAATACAGGCCTTAGGTTTAGTCCCCAGAACCAGAAAATAAATTTTGAAATTTTATGGTAAAACTAATTTGGTAACAGTATCAACAAAAACCCAACAAGGTCATACCTGCTGTTCCATGCCTGCAGCACTTCACAGAGGCTTTGCTTCTTGGCAATGAGTGACTCAAAGATGGACTGTAGCTGCTGAGGGGTGTCCACAGAGGAAGACATAAGCCTGGCTTGCATCTTCTCAGTCCAGTTCTTGAACTCGCCCTCTTCCATCTGGAAGGCAATAGATAGAAATTCCGTAAGCTGAAACACCATACAGACAGGGGTTTCTAGGAATCAGTATTTTCGGGATTTTCTATGAAAGAAACAAATTACCTCTTTTTGTGCAAAGATATCTTCCATTTTTTCCTCTCTTGTTTTGCTAAATGTATCCGTTTTCAAGGATGCAAGTCTTTCATCTACAGCTAGGTATACCTGGGAAACTCTAAAAGGAATGACAGAGTACCATACATGAAGGTAAAGCTGAATCAAACCATTATCAGAGAAATTAGGAGGAAAGGTATTTTATAGAAAACTATAGGTAAAATATCTCATCAAAAAACAGATGAAATTTTGCAAAGTGAAAAATAAGGAATCAAAGAATTTACTTCAAAAATTTAAGTTGTCAGTTTTAAAGGTATCTTCCTACATTATTTGAGCTTCGCTTTTTCATTCTGAGTATACACATATAATTAGAATATAATTAGAAAAGGAAAGTTACTCACATTTCAAAAGAAGAGTTAAATGAATAAGTCTGATACTAAATCACCATGGATTACAAACATGAGCAAGCAAAAATGTATCACCAAAGAAATTAAAACCTACTTCTGAAAAAAGTCCTTAAGATCCTGAAGAAGAGACACCTTCAGTGGGGCTTGACGTTTAATGAATATTTTTGGTAGTGGAACACACACTTCAAGGAGCCGAATAGGAGAATAACTGAGGGAAGATGAAAAAAAAAAAAAAAAAAAAAATATATATATATATATATATACATACATATATATACGAATATATATATGTATATATATATTCGTATATATATATGTATATATATGTATATATATATGCATATATGCAAGTGATCAATTAAATTCTAATAAGCATAAAGTTTCATTAAGACAAAAAAGATTAACTTTCAACCATGGTAAATATAAATATCTTTCCTAATATTGAGAGGATTTTGTTTATCCCTGCACTGTGATGCCATTTTATTTACTTATTTATTTATTTATTTATTTATTTATTTAATATTAGTTACAGTTTATTAACTTTGTATCCCAGCTGTATCCTGCTCCTTCATTCCCTCCTAATCCTACCCTCTCTCCCTCATCTCCTCCCTGTCCCTTTCCAAGTCCACTGATGGGGAGGACCTCCTCCCCTTTCATCTGACCCCGTTTTATCAGGTATCTTCAGGACTGGCTGCAAAGTCCTCCTCTATGGCCTAGCAGGGCTGCTCCTCGCTCGGGGTGTGTGGGGGTGGGGGTGGTGGTTGGGGTGTGGGGGTGTGGGGGAGGGTGTGGGTGGGTGTGTGTGTGTGTGTGTGGGTGTGTGTGTGTAGTCAAAGAGCCAGCCATTGAGTTCATGTCAGAAATAGTCCCTGTTCCCCTTACTAGGAAAAGCCACTTGGCATGGGCTACATCTGAGCAGGGGTCCATACACGGTCCTTGGTTAGAGATACAGTCTCATAAAAGACCCCTGTGCTCAGATATATTTGGTCCTTGTGGAGCTCCTGTCCTCTCCAGGTCATACTAACTCCCCCTTCTTTCATATGGTTGGTCTCAGTATCTGCTTTGATACACTGCTGGGTAGAGTCATTCAGAGGCCCTCTGTGGTAGGCTCCTGTCCTGTTGTTTTCTACTACACCCAATGTATGCTGGTCCAATTGGATGTCTACATGCAGAAAAATGAAAATAGATCCATATTTACCACCCTGCACAAAATTAAAGTCCAAGTGGATCAAAGACCTCAACATAAAACCAGATACACTGAATCAGTTAGAAGAAAAAGTGGGGAAGAGCCTAGAACTCATTAGCACAGGAGACAACGTCCTGAACAGAACACCAACAGCACAGGCTCTAAGAGCAACAATCAAAAAATGGGACCTCATGAAACTGAAAAGTTTCTGTAAAGCAAAAGACACTGTCGTTAGAACAAAACAACAGCCTACAGACTGGGAAAGGGTCTTCACCAACCCTATATCTGACAGAGGGCTGATATCCAGAATATATAAAGAACTAAAGAACTTAAAAAGCAATAAATCAAGCACTCCAATTAAAAAATAGGATACGAAGCTAAACAGAGAATTCTCTGTGATGCCATTATTTATACCTCTGAGGGGCCATCTGCTATAAAAACAGCCATGAATTTAATGCAAACTTTCCCTATTGATCTGAGGACACATGAAGGTATTTATTACATCCCAGGTCTTAAGGGTTCTTCATGTATCTTCACTTCCTTTCTAGCCAAGGTATTGACTAGTAAATGCTACACTCAACCACAATCATCTGAGATTCACCATTTATTCTGCAGAGGAAAGGGCTCCCCTTCTCCCTGAAGGCCGCCTTGAGCTTCTGGGATACTTTCCCCCCTTCCCCTCCCCCTGGCCCCCAGGAAGCCTCCACCTGGCTTGAGTTTTAGAGCCCTGAGCTCCTTTGATCTTATGCTTCACCCTTTTCCTCCCAGGAGAAACACGCATTTCCATTTTCTGCCCAGAAGTCCTACAATAGCTTGTAAGCCAACAGGTGGATTCTGGCAAACCAGATACCATTTGAAATGTCTACAGCAGAGTGGGGACCAGATGACTTTCCTTTAATAGGTTACTTTTGACTGCTGATAGCAGGCTACAGGAACAAGGCTAAGAGCCTGCGTGGAGCTACTACAAGAACCTCCTGCTAAAACAAAAGAGGCTTAGCCACAGTGGTAGTGTTTAGGGCGGTGAAGCATTGTTATTAGTAAGTTCTGAGGGCAGAGCCTAAAGGCACTGTTACTATTTCTTGAACTTGGAATTTTAGCTTTTTCAGAAGTATCTTAGAAGCTCATGGTAACTAATATCTCAGCAAAATTCTCAAATTTCAGATGCCAAAACAAAGGTCAAGAGTGAGTCAGAAAGCAGAAAAAACAATCAATGTTTAAACCATGATTCCCATCACTTGACAGCTCTATGAGTGAAATATACCAGATTATTATCCTTGCTTGTAATAAGCTAATAATACTACTTAGTTCTTTGGATAGAGAATAACTAACAGTAAAAGCTCTTATACTACATTCCTTTGTATTTGCAAGGTTAGAGACAAGGGAAGATACATATGCCCAAATTCAACCCAATAATGGAAGTGTTCCAACTAATAGGAATGTGAAATATATAACAATGTTGTTTTCTTACCTGAAAGACGCCACCATCTGGTTATAAGAGAAATACTGGTGATAATCATGGTGGATAGAGTGACCACACGGCTCAGCATTTGCTCTGCGTGTGTACTGGTGCCCATAAAATCGAAGTTCAAGGTACTTTGCAAACGACATAGACCAAGATTCATTTGAAAGTGCAACAACTGGTGTTACCTGAAGTTCAGGAAAAAGAAGTAATAAAAGTAAAATAAATTATATACTGAAAATCTCACTTTTGAAAGATGTATTTTCTATTTTCCAAGACAAACTTATTCTCGCTGAAGGAAAAAGAAACTGAGAAAAAAATAAAATATTCAAAATGAATCTGACCTGGGAGGAGGGAAGAATTGCTATAATAATCCCCCAAGCACCATCAATTTGCTAGTACACTGTTTATTTTCTTTGTTTACAAATTTTTAAATGGCCACTGGGAATGGCCATACACTGACCTGTTTCCCACTGCTGGGCATTTTAGATAACCAGGCTTTCTTTATGTGCATGATGCTCTAGTGAGCATCCTTATAAGCACACTCAGAAATAGATACAATTATCCCTTAGAGTAAATCAGTGAGGGGGGCAACAACAGATCAATGGTCTTTTTGCCACACTTCCTTCAAATCAGGTAAATTCATTTATATGTTTTCAACAACAGGAACTGAAAATACCAAGTTTCTCACTTCCCTACCAACCCTACAAGTTATTCATATTCCAAATGTTATTTCTTTAAAAAAAAAAATAATTTTACTTACTTCATTTATATTTGACTTCATTTATGCTTCAATTATGCTAATGAATAAATCTTATTTGCATATTTACTGGCAATTAATATTAAACTGCTTTGCTGCACCCCTTACCCATTTTTTTTTAACTATGTGGCTTACAAAATTCAATACTACACTAGAAGCTTTTCTTGTGTGTATTAACAAAACTCTTAGCATAATCCCATAATTTTTTTTAATCTTAAATGTGTAAGCCAAAGAATGAAAAACAAACCAAAATTTAGCTAGTTACCTAATTCAATGGTCAATCTATAACAGTGGTTCTCAACCTGTGGGTCGTAATCCTTTCACAGGGGTTGCCCAAGACCATTGAAAAACAGATATTTACATTACAATCCATAACAGTAGCAAATGGTTATGTTGTTATGAAGTAGCAATGACAATAATTTTATGATTGGGGGTCACCACAACATGAGGTGGTCACAGCTTTAGGAAGGTTGAGAACCACTGATCTACAGAGCTCACAACAAAATGCTACCAGCTATCCAAATGGAACCAGAACCAAAAGGCCTATGGGTATAAAAATAAGACTGGGAACTAGCTTAAGGGTAAAGCACTTGCCTAGCATGTACATCCTGATCCCCACTAACACACACAAAAAAGTAAGGAAGACTTGATCATTACTATGAATCACTGCAGGTCAGTACAGTCCCATCTTACAAAGAAAACTAATGTCACCATTCTCAAATGCTATACTAACAAACACACTACTATTTTATCTACAATTCTCATAAATGCTTTCCAAGCATATTCCAAAATACATTAAGATAATAATGAAAGCAATTTGACACATATTTGCTTCCGTCTTTATAATAATACTTTATATTAAATAGTTTATATTAAAAATGTTATACAAACTGAAGAAATGGCTCAGCAGTTAGGAGTACTGGGTTTATTACAGAGGCCCAGGGTTTGATCCTAGCATCTAAACGATATCTCACCATCATTTGTAACTACAGTGTCAGGGGATTCAACACCCTTTTCTGACCTTCTTGGATACTAAGCACATATATGGTACACAAACCTACATGAAGGCAAACATGCATATATATATATATATATATATATATATATATATATATATATATATA